ATATGTATATGTATATATATATATGTATATATATATATATATTTATATGTATATATATATATATAATTTATTACAATAATATAATCGCTATAATAAATTGAAAAGTATAGATCGAAAAGAATTGTCTCTTTTTGAGAAAAATGTCGAGATACTTGATTGAATTAAATCACCCCTATATATGTATAATCAATACCGGTTGCCTCTTCATTTCCCCCATCGGAAAAAAATGATAACATGCTGGAAAGCGCTTATCTCCCAGTATACATTACCTGAAGCCTCGGAAATCATATAAACTGTAGGCGAAGAGACGCTCTTGGCAAACGCACGATTTTGCAGCTTTGTTCAGAAAACCAAACGTGTTCAACAATACGTAATATATATATAATGTATACTTAGCGTATATATATATATGTAGATGCGGTGTGGCAATATAACGTTAATATGCACGAATATATATATATATATGTAGGTAATACACACTATATAGAAAAATCAAAAATGCCCTCGAGAAAAAAAGATACGTGGAAAAGTATCCTCTTTTTTTAAGTAGGTACCTGAAACACCGTCACAATAGCCCAGAGTAACGAGTCAAAGTTTTTCCTATCACACTCGACGTCAGAGCTGCCTTTCATCGTTTCACAGAATTTGCAACCAAACAGGTTCATCCCGAGAATACTACAACACAACGAAACGTGCAATGTACTTTCTTATCCATATATATATGTATATATATATACGTAGAGACTGAAATAAAATAATATATAAAAAATGAGAGAAAGAGAGAGGGATAAAAGCTTGATATAAAAAACTGCGGTTTATAAAGCGTGATTCGCGGCCAAATAACTGATCAGTTCAAAATGTGTATATACATATATCGAAATTTGTTTTAGAATCACCGTATGTGTCTTTCTCATCATAAATTTGATGATACAAAATTGTGAAATGCTTTCTGTAGCAAAAAATGAACTGAAGTAATTGTTACAAAAATAAATTTTTCTTTAAAATTTTTATATCTTATAATATTTATTATACTTCATTATATTTTTTTAAACATTATAAAAAACTAACGTTAAACGAACGTTAGTTTTTAACCAACTTATAATTATTTCAATATAGTATCTTTTACTGAATAGACATATTTGATTGGTTTTAATATCTCATAAATCGTTTGTCTAGTTGTACTTCAACAAAAGTGTAGAATCGATCGACGTCCTTTTATAATCTTTTATATATTGTAAGATACAGCGTATCTCTCCTCTCCTCCCCCCCCCCCAGTTTAACGACATATATCTTATAAAACTATGTTTGTGGAGTTATTGATATTTATACAGAAAACGTGCAAAATAACGAAGTGTTTTTCGGACTGACGCTGACATAAACTTCTGTTATCTTTCATTTTTCGTAATCTGAAATCTCGATCGAAGAAATGGAATTCTTGTCATCCCGATGCAAGTAGTCATGATGAATATCCACCATACATAGATTGCTCCGAAAGTTTCCGCAAAATTTTAAAAACATAATTAATTTCTAAAATTGGCTTTATGTTTTTCAAAATACTCTTCACAGTATATACACTTTTCCTTTCAATATTTTTGATTTTTTCTGGTTCAATAAACCCATGATTCACTTGTTACGACGTCATACACTGCTTTAGACTAACCATGATCATATTTTTAAGCATTTCCCAGCAAACACAAAGTAACAGTTAAGTAACATTAATGTTATAATTTCCCACTCAACAATGTAACTGCTACGTACAAGGCATGTTACATTGCAGTTACATCATTGAGTGGGAAATTATAACATTAATGTTACGTTACTGTTACTTTGTGTTTGCTGGGTTCTTTGCTCCATTTGACTCGCGTTTTTTTTCCGTTGTGCGCTATCCACACAGGTTTTTCACGCCAAGATGATCATGTCGAGTTGATTTTTTATTTGAATCATATTAAAGAAAAAAATGTCTGTAAATCATGCGATGGTCTTCTTATAGTAAGTTGCGCACAGCATCAATATTCTCTAGAGTGACCACCATAGCAGAACGGCCTTTACGAGATTCGTCTCTGAGCTGTATTTAACCGCACTTAAAGTTGCTATTTGTAAACAGTCCTTTGGAATGCTTCGGGAACAGTCTCTTAGGTGCTTCATTGCCGAAAACCGAAATTGGCGACTTCTTAAAGTCAGTAAAAAATCATCGCACGGAAATTTTCTCGTGATAAATTAATTTTTTTCGAATTGTTTTTCGTCAATTTTTGAACACGTTTCACAGCCGGACGAATATTTTTTGATGTGTTTCAAAAGCCAAAGTGTCATTAAACATGTGAAATTAAAAAAAAAAAAAAACTATCAACAGTTGATGTGATACGACGCCTATATATTATTTTGCGGAAACTTTTTGAACAACCTACGTATTTAATGCACGCTAATCAATCGAGGAAAATAACTCTCTAAAGCGCGGATCTTTCAGAAACTCCAATTTGCATCTCTAATTGCGACCGCAACGAAATGTGCAAACATCTAGAAACGATTGTGGAAAAAGTAGCTACTGTGCGCAAAGACATATTCACGTTTGTACATACTTTCAAACACTCTTCAAACTTTATATTTAGTTTTACTTTTATATTTAGTTTCGCAAGTTCGCTTTACCTTGAACAGAGTTTCGAACAGAAAAATATCGTATGCATTGACGTCAACGAGATATATTATTGAACATATGGTTTTTTTTTCTTATTTCTCTTCGGATTGTTTTAGTACAAAAACTATTACTGCTATTTGTTTTTATTAATAAAAAAATAATGTGTTTGACTTCTTAGTTTTTTCATTTATATGTAGGAACGTCCATTATCTGTCGTAAGAACATTTATCAGAATAATAAAAACATTATGCCAATAAAAAATAAATAAGCGTTGTTTGTTTACTCTATTTCAACATCCGCATTTACGTTTCCGCACGATAGACAGATATCGTATGTACAATCAGTGACACCATCAAAATCGCAATAGCTAGGATGGCTCTGCTATAGCGGAGCCACGAAATCGATCATCGAACGGTCATAAAAAAACACGTCGCAAACGCGCGAATGTATGTGGCGGAAGATCCTATGTAGAGCATATACAATCAGATAATCTCTATGTAATCCTGCACAGATGAGATATATAATCTATATATGTCGAACACATTCGCAAGCCGTTCTAATATCGAGAACCACACCGAGGCGCACGCATTTATGTAATATATATATATAGGCGCTCAGAGTAGCAAGAGAGCGACAGCGGGAGAAGATTCACGTCTAAATAATATGAATATATAAACCAAAGAAAAGTGTGTGTGGCGTAGAAATGTGTGTGTAGTATATAATAATAAATATATATATATATACATATAATCCTTCATACACACGTCACTAAGACGTCCAGCATAAAAGCATCATGCATACACACACACACATGTAAATATATATTCATATACGTATATATATATTTATATATATATAAATGTCTTCTAGATATAAACGTCGAAAAGTACGTTTGATGCCTCAAGCCATAAAAAGGGAGAAAGGCCGAGCAGTGGCCTCCTCCCTGTAATATAGATCGTGCGAACAAATACCATCGTCATTACCATTAACAACACGTCAGAAGTATACCGCTCAAAGAAACGCTAGGAGACGCGAGAAATACGGGACATCAACTGCTGATAATATATATGTATATAAACTCGAGAACTTCTATATGTATATGTGATATGCATTAACTGGTGGCGGCGGCGGCGGCGGCGGCGGCGGCACTCATATGCCGCGCGGAAATAAAGTAAAAGCGAATAAAAAATAGAAGAGAAAGATATATGAACAGAAGACAAAAAGTCACCTAAAATGTAGGCCTCGGCTCGAAGAGTAGCGGCGTGTACGATTTGCTTCTGAAGCTTCGGAATCTCGTAGAAGCTATAGGCAGGAAGCTGCATTCGAGATATCAAACGTCGACTTTTCATGTTTCGAAAGAAAAATAATTAACTGAATGGAATTTTGGATAAAAATTTAGCGTTTTTTTCTACGTTTTATAGATTATTTCTTAGAAAAAGAAAATTAAACACTAAAGCGTTCTTTAATACAAGACAAGATGATCGAACTTAATATTTTTACTGAAACAGAGATGATATCGAATTTATTGTTTGATCAATGTATATCACAGGACCAATTAGTTCATACATCATCACCATTATTATTATCATTATCTTCGTCATCAACGTTTCATATTTCAAAGCGCTTGCCCAATATATATATATATTTAATAGTACCTATCAGCAATTTCGTAACTTCGATTAAACTTTGCCAGACATGCAAACGTTACTAGCTGATGAAGATGATAATTATAGAACAGGAAAACGCGATAGCGCCCGGTAATCTCTCGGCGAACGCGACGCGCAGCTTCGATTGAGCAAGTTCCTCTCGCGATTGAACGAACAGACTTCAATGAAACGGATTTTTACCTCGAATTCGCGAAATGGACGAAGATTACACCAGAAATTATATATATATATATACATAAAAGAAAGAAAACGTAAAAAAGACTCGGCAATATATTTTTTGCGGGCACGACAAAAGCCCGCTCGGTACGGCGTTGCTGACACAGAAAAGAAAAACGCACGGCAACTTACCTGAATATAAAGATGAAAAGCACTAAAAGAGAAAAGAATACGGCAACGTTATCCATGGTACGCAGCATCACGAAGAGCTGTCTGCGCAGATTGGGCAGAAATCGTACCAGCTTCAGAATCCTGAGTAGACGAAAGGTGCGCAGAACGCTCAGGCCGGAACTACCACCGCGCTCCTCCACAAATGCTTGACAAAGCTCGACAACGCTGGAAACATGATGTTATCATTACACAGCGAGAAGCTTTACGAGAAAGCTATAACTATTTTTTACCGCGTTATAACTTTCTCGCAAAGTTTCGAATAAGCCATGAAATTGAACGACTGTGCTGATACGTCGCTATACGTTGATGCCGATATATAATATGCGCTTCGCAGCGTATCAGTCATATAACACGTAGTGTGTAACATTATCTATTTATATGATTAGTATTGTGTGTTATAACACTGTTATTTAGTATTAAAATAGTAAATTGTTAGAGAGAATTATTACAAAACGGCGAAAAATTTCGATTTTTCGATCGCCACATGTACCTCAAAACGACAACAATGCCGTCGAAGACGTTAAAGCCGTTGCTGATGTAGCCGAACGGACCTTCCGCTATTATTTTAAGCAACATCTCTACCGCAAAAATTGCCGAGAACACAATGTTGCTTATTTCAACAGCCACCGTTAATTGTTCCGGCTGCGTGCACACAACAAAATAATAATAATAAGTTCACTCCTTAGAAGAACTTTAGTTGTAAAAGCTAATCACATAATATCTGATAATTTTAAAATAAAATAAAAATCAGATTTAAAAAATGTGGAATATCATCAAATTCGATTATTTAATAAAGAAATAATCATTTAGAAAAATTTGAGATATTGATATTTAGAAATCGAATGAAGAGTCACCTGATTGTGATACTCGATTCCCATGCTCATGGTGTTAATGAGAATCGCTAGAAGAATACCCTGTTGAAAGTATTTATGTTCAACAAGCTTCTTGATCCACCGTCTTATACAGCGCAGTGTACAGATGCAGCAGCTTCCGGCGCGTCTAAAAAATCGTCGAGCCCGTGAGGCTTTTTGCCACTTTTCGCCGTCTTCCGCCCATTGATCGGCAGCTTGCAGCTCGCAACAACAGGAACAATTGTCGATGTCAGACGTCAACCACTGCGTGCGATCCTCCAACGTGATGTGACGATCTGTAATACCTGTTAAATATAAAAAAAAAAAACGCTCTTTCTCACACTGTTCTTTCTTTTGTTTGTTGATGATTTGTTTGGTCGCATGCAAGTTATGTCGCAAATAATGTGTGTTTTTTAAATCGCAAAACGTTTTCAACACCGCGGAGATAGCAAAAACAGTGTAACGCGATATATCTAAGAGATGTGATTAAAAAATAAAAGAGAAAGTAACACGCAGAGAGAGAGACAAGGTTTGCAATATTGTTAAAAAATATAAAAAATATTCGGTAATATACCGAAACGAAATATACTTAATACATATTTAGAAACCATTTTGAACATATCTGTTCAGATCAGACGCTGACCTTCGCAGAGGGGTCAAATATTAAAAACGGACGAATATATACGAAAGTATTCAGAGACATTACACATATAGAACTGAGAAGGAAAAAAACTGCTTTTGTAAACTTTGTTTTTTATGGCTTAGCTGGAAGATACTTATATAGATAAGACTTGCCTTTTGTGAGGGAGTTTAGAAACGAATCAAGTGCTAATTGACCAGTAGGTAGAGCTGCGCTGAGAGCACCGCTGAGAGCCAGCAATTCCTGACACGTCATAGCCTCGTTGCCACCCAGCTCGGCTTGCATCTGCGACAATCAATGTGAGAAAGTGAAAACTAAAAAAAAAAAAAACAAATAACTGAGAGATCACTTTAAGTTGAAAAAACAAATATACCTGTACGTGGTCCGGTAGGGGGCTGGACCAAACGTTACCATCGCCTGTCTGTGTCATCTTCTCGCTCGAGCAGACGTTACGTTCGCCCGGTGTCACCGTCGTCCCCGACTGCAACGCATTCCCGACATTATTGCTGCCATGGAGCAGTACGACGTCGCTAAACATTACGCTGCTTCTTCTTCGATAATGCGTACACGGTGGACTCAACAACGTGCTGTTCGTCTAGAAGGCGATAATCAAGCGATACATTATGCGATACGACTACGACCGGTTGCTCTCTCTCTCTCGTGATCGTTCTCGGCCCAAAACTCGTAGCGTTAAGAGAAGGTAACTTTATGCACAGTCCTGTCGTGTTCTAAAATATCTCGCTGTACTTGAAATCACCGTTCTTGTCAATTTGCGGACGTACCTACTTTTATTTTATCATCAACCGAAATATAACGGGACGCGAAGTAAACGTTTCTTCTAAAGGTGCAAAGCGTACGTATTAAACACTTACTTGCTATGAGAAAACGACTACTTATTTAAAAAACGGGGAATAAATATCAGCGAAGAGAAGAGCGTTCAAATAAATCTAACATATTGTTCGTCTACATTTTATCTACGAAAAAAGTCACGTGTGACACTTTGACAAAGTGAAAGCTAAATGAGCGACAATTGAGATTGTTACAAAAAAAAATTTATAATTATACGTTGAAAAATTATTTCAATTTATTGTACTATTTACTCAACTTCATTTATATCGTTCAATTTTAATATAATGCATAATGGATCGTGTATAAAGCGCATAACATGTCAATACACTTGCCTCAGTCGGATTTCCGACGACGATATTTTCACTCCCGTTGTAAGACACGGAAGAAGCGCGATGCGCACTCAGTCTGTGACACGTGTTCGCGGAAGCTTCGGCCTCGGAAGCCTCGGGGCTGGCGCGAGGTGCAATACTCAAGTTTCCGCTACCACCGACGCTATTCCCGGCAGTTGTCGGAGTGGAAATTGCCACCGTTGGTTGCACCGAAGGCGTAACCATGGCGAAATCGGTAACGGATCCACCGTTACCATTGCCAGCCGCTTGCTGTTGTTGAGGTTGTTGTTGCTGTTCCGCGTATTCCAGTGCGGCCAGTAATCGCGGACACCTTCCGTGATGTAGTCTTCTATCTGGATATGCATTTTCGAAAAAAATCGAAAAGTTCACGTGACGTTCCATTATTAAATCGTATATATATGAGAGTAAGTGATAATTTATTACTAAACAGCTGTGTTCTCTAAAGAATTATCGCAAAAGCACATACACTATGCGTTCTCTAAACAATAGTTTACTTTATGTGTTTATAATATTATCGTATAAAATGTAGCAAAAACTCTTACCACCTGGTATTCGATTTGGACCGGCAGTGTTCGGGCGAAACGGTTGACTCTGCTGTTCCTTGAGTAAATTTTGCTCCCGTCTCTGTTGTCTTTTGTACAACCACAGACGATACTTCTTCATCAGTCTTCGTTTACCTCTTCGCCAGAGGTGGGCGATGTATCTGAAAAACAAAACAAAACAAAACAAAAAATCATATCGTCAGCTGGTTTACGAAGCGCGACGAGAGGCGCACGTGCGCTGTGTGAATTTCTCTTTCGTGAACGAACAAGCACCGAAAAACAATTCAGTTCGCGCGAATGGCGTCCTCGGGATGCAACGAGTACCCACTTGACGATTTCGGCGTAACAAGTAGTAGGCTCCGAGGTATTCGTAGACGACGCGAGCGTCGAGGTCGAATGATAGCGAGCGCGCTCCAGTCGCATCCTCTCCATTTCTCGCTTCTTCGTCTCCGAGAATTGCGTCGCAATTACGACCAAGCAGAGATTGATCATAAAGAACGAACCGATCTGTAAACGCGTAGATCGATCTTTAGTTCACTCTCTACATGCGATTTGTATTTACTTATATTGTTTTCATTATAAAAAATTATATATTTATTTTTATTTTTAATTATATTTTTTATACAATTATTCATTATAAAATTGTTTTGTCATCTCTCTCTTTCTCTCTCTTATATTATATAATTTCACTATCAGATGATAAATAAACTTACTACTATCAAGAGCACAAAGTAAATCCAGTCCCAGAAGGAGTGAGCGTCTTGAACATAATACATTATATCCGTCCATCCTTCCAGACTAATTACCTATAAATGGGCACAATATAATTCAGCATTAATATAATAATGCGGCTTATTAATGAGTTAATAAATCAACGATAGAAAACGCTTTCGCGCTTAGGCATTTTGGAGCAGACCTTTACGCGGACACGGGGCGACTTTGTGGAATTTCGAGCAATTGCGATATTTTCAAAAAAAAAAAAAAACTGTTAAAAACCAAAATAAAAACGTCTTCAATTATTCTAACTCGTAAAACATTAGGTATGACATCTAAAAAAATTAAACCATTTATAACGTTCATCTATCTATTTACTTTTGTAAAAAATTCGCGAAACGCATATATGCGTTTCCCGGCGCGAAAGTGTTTAATTTTCGCACAAGAGACGTATGTGCTATAAACGTGTTCGTATATATTGTATCTAGCGAATATACGAAGAGCGATATAATTATTTGTTTCTAGAAATACGAAGCTTTCTGTGTGGCTAGCACATCGTTCATTCGCGATAACATCTTATCATCGGATAAAAGCTAATTTCGTTTTGCAAATATGTCTCTGACCATACAAGTTTTTCTTGTGACACTATTGTAGATTAATGTGCGGTACGTTTCACATTTGCCGACGCGTCGTCGTCGAAAGTAATTTAATTAAAAAGAAAGAACACGTACATTTCGTTTCTAAATAAAGTGCAAAAAATTAAACCGATAAGTAATAAAAGGCTCACAAGAAATATGGCGACCCAAGCGAGACCGATGTTATCGAATGAGATTGTTCCTTGGAATGGATTATTGCCCTGGCCCTTGCACTCTGTATAGTAATAGTTCCAATTAACGCAGGTTTCATTGTTGATGAACGTGATGTTACTGTTTGGCACAGCGGTATTGTTGCATACTAAATTTCCTACGTACGAGAAACCAATCGATCCATTGAATTACAGCAATAAACAATATAAATTATCGGAAAAAATATAATATGCACAATTATAAACACCAAAACTAGAATACAAAACTTTTATATTTGTTACATTATATTGAATCAAGTTACATTTAGAAAAAAAATGTTTTAACGTGCAAAATTTTAATTTAATATATAGTTTTAAACTTGTTTTTTATATTTTATACCACATAAAAAATTACAAGTAGTTATTTAAAATTAAATAAATTAAATTTCTCTCTGTCTCATTAAAAACCGTTTAAGTTTATTCGTTACATGTTTGTTTGTACTGACAACATTAAGTTTACTTACCGATCTTGAGCGGCGGCAAATTACTGCACAAGTGCATCCCGCTGTCGTCGGGACGCGAACAGATGTAATCCTGACCCTGATACTCGAAATATTTCTCCAGATCACTGAAAATCAACACAAAAAAGAACGATTAAATGGATCTACGAACGTATCGATCCCCCATTCTATCTTGTGGATTCTTAAGTTTAAAGATTTGCGTGCATATATGCCTTGATTATGCACGGATGCACTCTTCGCATGCTTCGCTTATATGCATACATTATGTATGTTATATTATGTAGTTCTGCAGCGTGTTCATATAATACATATAGTAAATATATATATATACATATATATATATATATATATATATTATGTATATATATATATAGAGCGACTCACTGGAAATTATCGTCCTTTCGCCAAAGAAAATCTTATTCTCTGATTTTCGAAGACAATATTTTGAGCAGCGAGTTCTATTTCTGGAGTGCATCTTATATTTAGAGATAATCTCAAGACAACTTTTGCTATTTTTATATACCGCTGCACTCTTTCTCAGGATTACATAAATTCGATAAATGTTTCTACAATGTTTTACTTTGAATGAATAACTTTGAAGCTTGAATTGAAAGTTACGAATAAAAAAAGTTATTTTAGACGGTAGTTTCTAGTGATCCATCCTATAACACTCACACACATACATATATATATGTATATATATAAATATAACATGTATACATATGTATATTTATATATTCATGGTATATAAAATATACAGAGGGTAACGCGGGAATTACCAAAAAGAGAGCTTCTAGTACGGCCTGCTTGCGTAAATGGAAACGAAAATATGTAAATACGATCGATTTCTCTCTCACTCGAAGTAGGCTACGGAGTTATAGGTCCCGAAGGTTATATATTCATTCGAATGAAGGCTAATCGCGAACGGTCTACGCCACGCAAATTATTATCAGCATGGCGCGACTGTGCTTCGCAAAACCAATCGATACATGCTTAACGTGATGCTCCACTCTGAGATTACCTCGAATAAAATGCGCATTGTGTATGAAAAATCATATTTGTAATACATTTAAACTTGTTTATATTGCTGATCGTTAGTTTTATATAATGATGTATCATTTAATATTTTTTCCATTTGAAATTTTTGACAGGTTGACGCACTCGCCTGAAGAGTTGAAGGTAAGAATTTTACATCAAAATATGTTTCCCTCTTAATAAAAATCGATCTGTCTTTTAATTGTTTTTAAAAAAACCATTTTTGTGAAAGTTATTCAGTTTGTTTCGTTTTCGATGGGTCACTTTATATATTTATCGACACGCGGTTGCCGATATTACGCCGAAAATAAACTCGCGAAAAGAAACTTAGTTAATGTTTCTCACAAAACTATGGTGACATCGCATTGCTATAACATTGTGAGTATCAACAATTAGAGTTATTAATTTAGGATCAAAAATTAGAAAGATAATAAAATTTTTCGTCGTAAATTAAATGGCGTTTTATGTGATAAATGTGTAAAAAAACTATAAAGTATAATAGTGTGCTTAAATTATTATTATATAAAAAACATATATATATATAAAGAAATAAAACATCGATAAATGGAAAATATTAACAAGTTTATATACTTTAAGTCCAAATGTTAATTCTTATTTTTTTGCGCTTTACTCTTTAAAGTTGAAAATTATTATGTTGTCTCTGTGTCCCCAAGTTATACTCTTCTATCGCTTTATCTCGGCGTCGTTTTTATCTCGACTCCTTAGACGACGTCTTCTGTCAATTAGACATTTTGATTGATAATCCTCATTCTGTCTTCGCGGTAAAAATCAAGTGATTGATGTCTTCCACTGCGCACTGACATTTTCAACTTTTATGACAACATTGTGAAATATCACAGTTTTTTTTATACTCTCGGAAGAAATTTATATTATAATAAAATTTGTATTAAGCAAATAAAAACAAAGTAAGCAATAGAAGAATATTGTATCGCTTTGCCTTATTTTTTAAAGCAATGTAAATTACAATCTTATACGCTATCATATGCTATAAAATACTTAATCAACAATGCGCATGTGATCGCCTGTGCTCTCACGTTTGTACTCGTGTTGGCCGTTCTAAATCTTGTACGTATTTGTATATAGCAACCAGAGATATCCTACATTTAAACAATAAATATCCCGTAAGATTATTCAATCCCCATAATGCTCGTTCTCGTTGCGCCGATTATACTTGTAATTATTATTTGTGTAAAAATCAATTTTCTTTATAGATGAAAATTATGATTATAATGAAGTTATTTAATTTGTCACAAAAAAAAAGTAAAAACTCACACAGCACATGTCTCTAAAAGAAGAGTAAAAGACGACTTAAAAACATTTTATTATAACTATTAACGTCTTTAGACATCTTTAAAATGTCTTTTGGCTTTTCTGCTGTACTGTGTCTGCAAAACCTTTAACTAATAATTAAAAGAAAATTTAATAAGTGATATTATTAGTTTTTGAAGTAGATGTTAACATAGCTCGTTGAGAGGAAAAAGCTAATAAAATGCTAGATCGCTTCTTCCAGGACCATCCGCGAGGCTCCAGCGCTCTGCTACCGGATCGGTAGTGCGAGAAGAACGCCAATGCAGAAGTCGATAAACGTTCGAAAATAGCTGCTACGTATACTGGAATAGACCGCGCGATCACCGCGCGTTTAATTAGCTCTCTCTTTCTCTCTCTCTTTCTCTCTCTTTCTCTCTCTCTTCCTCTCTCTTTCTCTTTCTTTCTTTTTAGGCTTGGTCTTTGGAGCTTTATAAAGCCTACTTCTTTATCGCGTGCTTTTACGCCGTGCTACTATTGCGCTATGCGCGGTTTTGGAATCACAAAACGATTTTCTCCGTTGTTGAATGTAATTAGTGCGCTCACGCAAGACCTATGCACACGAGTATGCATTTAGAACGGCCGATTTTAAAACGCACACGAGATAACTCTCTATTTTCTTAATTACTCGTGATCGCACTCGACTTTTCTGCGAATAGGAGCAAATAGTGTGAACATAAAAGTCTAGAATTCGATTTATCTCACAATGATCGACAATAATGTCATTTGCACACAAGATGCTTCGTTGATACGCACTCACGAAATTAAATTTTTCAAGTACCGTAAGGTTTATATTTTTCCGTTAGAAAAATACAAAAAGTATCGCGGATTGTTCCTGAATTATAAGAAGAAATTTCAAACTAAAGAGCTCTGGCATTTTTAGGGAAAATTATTACCCTCAAACAAAAACCGATAAATAATACTCTTTAGCGCACGTAAAGCATGTAATTCGGGACACCCTGTAGAACGTGGAACACTATCGTAAAAAGCGGTGCGATGTGGTGAAATCACAGAAAGACCATTGAGCCACATACAATTACTAAACGATAGTTCACATATGCAGAAAGCATTGTTAGACGCTTGTCGGATAGAGACACGCTAAAAGAGAATAAAATAAAAAAAAAGAAAGAGAGAGAGAGAGAGAGAGAGAACGTGTATGTGTGTGTGCGCGCGCGCGCGCGTGCGCGAGTCACAAGAGATCATATATCACAGAAGTACGTATATGTTCAAAGAGTAAAGAAAAAAAAAATGAGAAAGGTGAACATCGAACTCGTGCACTGAAGTAGTCGAAGAGATCACAAAGTGTCGGACTACATAGTAATCTCGTGGAAAGGTAAAGATTCCAAGTCGCGACGTCCACACGTCGCATGGTGTGCAAACAAGTGTCGATGAGAAAAAAAACTGTAACTTTAACACTTTAATTTTTATTAAGATTCAACTTCAATGTGCGTGTTTTTTGCGAGGGACGACGAGGAAAGTGTAATACAGAAACACTGAAATATTTCAAAATTCCGGATAATTGATTTGTGGCTCTTGAGTGTGATCTCGAAACTGTCGTTTTCACTCGGTATTCAAAACTGATATTTTATTTGTCATCGATCGAGCCTCGACATGCTCTATGTGAATACACACTACATACAGACGTACACTAGTACAGTTATATAAAGGAGAAAAAATTAAAAAATATATAAGAGAGAAAGAGCAATGAAAACAAAAGTAGAGAGTAAAAAAAAAAAAATAAATAATAATATACGCATATGCACATCACGTAAAAGAGAAGATACGGTTGCATATATATACATATATGTACATATGGATGCCGTGTGTGTATATATATATACTCTGTGATTCATATAGGTATAGATATTATTGAGAAAGATAGATAGATAGATATATATATACATATATATATATATATATATATATATATATATATATATATATGTATATATGTACATGTACAGCACATCGTTCTCTACTAGAGCTTACTAAATGCGTGATCGAACCGAGTACTCGTCCGAGAGTAACCTGCAACAGCGAAACAATAGCCTGTCACTGTCTCCCTGGGGGTCATGTACTTATATGTCTAGTTTCTTTTTAGTCATGAACAAGTGGAATAGAGAAGAGGACAGAATGAGAAAGAAAGAGAAGAGAAAGAGAAAAAGGATCAGACACGGAACGTTTTTGAGAAATCGCCTAACGTGATGTTCCTGTAAAAGCAAAAGTTCAGGAAGTGGAACACGTAGGTTCTCCATCCGAGACTTTTCACGAACTTTTTTCCTTGTTTCCTCTCTCGCCGCCGATGATATCATTTTTATATCGCGCCAATATCAGTTCAAAGATTTCAACATCAAAATTATCTGCTATAAATGCATTCTTAAAACGATTATTTAAGAAGTTCTATGTATCAATGTTAATACACACACACACACACAGCAGTGATTGCGCTATAAATTTTATTCCAGAAAACAAATATAAAGCTTGTCTATCTTCTCTTTGGTTTAATTTTTTAATGGGTAAAAATTGTTTTTTTTTTTTTAATAAAAAATAGCTTGCTATGTTATCTTTTATACAATCTATTTTATACATGCAATCAAAATTTTCTTTGAAGTTGAAGAAACACTATAATGCGATTAGATCTAATCACTAATGTGATTTAAAAAAAAATATTTATATGTTCATTACAAAACATAATAACAATGTTATCACATATAGTATATAAAGATAAAATTTTTAAGATATAAAAAATGTATGTTTAAAAATACTATATATGTGTTTGCAGTAATATAATTCAAAGTTGCTGAATAATACAACGTTGTATTTGTAAGCATAATGTAAATGTTTATATTTATTCAATTATTTAAAAAAAATCTCTTCAAGATAATGTTTTGTGAATAGTTTCGTGATAAGCCGTGCGGAGTAGGCGCAAATTACATAGTTCGAACTGTGTTCTGAACAGATATCATCGATGACAGAACGGATGTCCGATAAAAGCTCAAAATACTTTGCGCAGAGAAATACTATTGCGAAAGACAGAAAGAAGATAGAAAAAGAGCGTTGATTTTACAGCGAGAATAAAGCAAGCAATGCTTTTGCGACAACTCGAGCTACTCGCCACATGCAATCTCTGGATACAGTAGATCGGTCGGATCTGGTGCGAACAAACGCACGGCTAAGTAAATCGTTTACTCGAATGTCAGATCGCGTATACAATCATCTGCAGTTAGTTCACCGCGCTCTCAAACACATTGACTGCATTTTCGCGTACTCTTGTAAATTTTACAACTAAACTGACTCTCAAAAAAAAAAAAAAAAAAAAAAAATACGATAGTTTATTGTGAACGGAAACAAATTTCAGACTATCATTAACAGTGTATTAAAATTTTAAGTAAAATCTGCCTCCTAAACAAAGTATCTAAAATGATAGAAAACTTCGTGCTACGAATGTGCTTTGAATACGGTACATTACACGTACATATTTATTCAATATATGGTTTATATAGCTTTTTAAACAAGGTAAACGCTGATGAAGCTTCATTTTTGACGATATATATTAACCCTCGGGGAACACACCTATTTTTTCAATCAAGAAGAACAATCTGGGTCAATTTGACCCTGTCCACTTTTTGAGATGCTACCATTTAAAATGCACTTATCCGATTGGCTTGAAAAAANTTTNCGGATATATTTTGAACAGTTTGGAATATGCCTATATAGTTTTAAAGTGTCGTTAACATTATTAACATTGTAAAAAATATGTTACAAAAAAGCAAAATTGAAACAAAATATTTTGATCAAAGTCGACGAACAGGGTCAAATTGACCCAGTGTGTTCTCCGAGGGTTAATTAACTAAAATATATAAGCTGTCTTGATAAAATTTAAATTACTTTCTTTCGTTTACCGCAGTCAAAGTACGACGTTGTGAAAAAATATCCGATTGTTAAATAAATATATGTCTTGTTATTACGCGTTTTATTGAAAACTTCATAGAGATCAAGAGACAGACAAAGAGAAGAGAGATAAAACGAAATATATACGATGCAGCGTGTAAGATGTAATATCGTGAAAAAAAAATCAGATTAGAATCGGAACATTCATAAAAAAAAAAAATTAATTAACAAACCGACCTATAAGTTTTTATGCCGACTTACTCGGGGTACTTGACGTTGGGCAGGGCTTTGAGGAAACAACGTTGACGTAGAATACCCTCCCACAGTTGCACGCCGACGATACCGAATATGAAGAAGACGAAGAAACACAGTAACAACACGTTGCCCAGCATAGGAAGTGTATCGAGCAGTAGCATTACCAGAATTCGCATACCTGTCAAAGATTGAAAAAACACAACGTTTCACATAAGTATTTAATTATTGTTAGACACAAGTATCTTATTATTAATTTGTTGTAAATCCCCTAATTTCTAACAAAAATATGTATCAATGTTTTAGTATTTAATAGTTATTGGAATTTCGATTAGAATAAATCGTGACGAAATTCAAAAAAGCGCAATAAAGAGATTGTATATATTACTCAATTTCACTTTAAAGAGTTTATAGTTCTCACGAAATGTTTTCAATATTTTAAAAAATTTGAATTATAGAAGAAAGATGAAATGAGAAGATCCGTTATTGAAATATTAAAGTTATACGAGGACCAACATTTAATCTTGAATTTTTGACCACTATAGCCGTTAATAAGCTCTGTGTTTTCTTGCCAAGTTTACTTGTTTCCGATCGATGTGTGATTATATATGTGTTTTCTGCTGTCTCTACTTCATTTGACTTCCAAAATGAAATCAACCGTAAACGGTCATTATGATCTATATAAGCAACACGTGGCAATACACTGTAAAATCGACAACAAAAAGCAAACCGTTCGGAGTTAACCGTCAGATGTCGACGATTTTGATTGACATATACTTCGAAGATCTCTCTCACTCTCTTTTTCTTTCTTTCTCTCTTTCTTTCTTTCTTTCTCTCTCTCTCTTTCTCTCTCATACTTACTTGGTATTCGATTGATCGCTCGTAACGGTCTTAAGACCCTTATCGTTCGTATGGCTGATAGATTCATATTTTCCACGTTTAGGCAGTATTCCAAAGCGCTATAATCAAGACATCAAATAAGCAAATCATTTCTTCAGGTTTTTTCTGCTTCTTTTTTGCTTTTCAACGTTTCTTCTGACATAAATAATTAAATTATTTGCTACGGCAATCTTTTTTTTTGAAGGAGACAACTTAGATTAGAAAATCCAAAATATATCTTGGAATGAATTACTTACCCAGCCACTACTATAAAGAAGTCTAGTCTATTCCAGGAATCTGCGAGATAAGTTCCTTTACCGTAAATCCCCATAGCTACCATCTTGATAGTCATCTCCAAGGAGAAGAAGGCAAAAATGATATCGTCGAACATCTGGAAGGGCAGGTGGAAGAACACGGTTTGATTAGGGACACAGAGAGGCATTTATCAACGTAATTCGCCGTGATTGATTAAGGGCACTCTACTGGAGAATTTGATTAACAGCTCTCTGCGCCATGTCGATAATTTCTTCATCTTTTTCCCATCTTTTATTCCCCGTTTTCATTCTCTTCTTCTCCTTCTTTGCAAACTAATTGCGAGTCGATCGGAAATCGTGTCAAGATGAGCAATCGATTAATTTGCTTATTGACGCGCTTGTATATAATCGTGCTACGCTTATTACACGCTGCTTTTCTGTCCTGCGTATTCGCGGTGACTTAAATTAATTAAATTGCAAATATATTCCAATTCCCTCAATATCGAACCTGGTTTTACTCTAGTTTACCCAAACACGTAAAACGACGAGGTCGTTCTTATGAAAATAGGTCTCTTTGCTTTCAAATAAGCTTGATATATTTGCCGCATCTTTCGAATCCGACATGATAACGCGCGTAATCAATAGCTTTTTGCAAAGAAGTTAACATGTACATACACATATACACACGCGTTTTGCGAAATAAATACGTACCTGCAGTATCTTACATCGATTCGTTACGCATTGATCGTCCACGCACGGCTGGTACATCCCAAGTGTGATGCAATTCAGAAGAATCACCATCATGCTCACTCTTTCGAACCACGTGAATCTTCGTTAAGGAATAATTGACATTTACATTTGCATTTATCTATAGTTGGATATATACTTTTATTTTTTTCTGATTAAAAATAACACATCATCCTTCTGTAAACTAACGTCAAAAAAATTTGTTTATCCATATAAAATATTAAATATTAATTTGCATTTTACGTACGACACATTGTATGCCTGAAAATTATTAAACTAATGCAAAAAAAAAAATGGTTTATGCGTGGAAAATATTGATGTGCACATTTTACATATCATTTATGTCAATATCTTCCTTCTTTGTTTATACAAGTATATATTGTAACTAAATAAATATTCAAAGATTCTTAAGAAAACAATTAAAAACTTAATATAATATATAAACAAACGATTTTCAACGATGTTGTTCACAAGTTTCTGTTGAACATACAAAACTTTTTATTATATATTTGAGTTTATTTAATTTTGTTAGAACATACTTTTTTTATCTTTGTTAAATAACAGTACATTCGGATGTGAATGTTAAAAATGCAATTATTTGCAGTGATATAATTATTCACAGGAGATTCGGACAATTTCCTTCAGGTCAATCGATGAAGCTCTGCTTGCCTGTAATCGACACAACTTATCGTTGCCAAGTGACTATCGCCTAAACATCGAGTTCTCCCAGCGCACCTTGATGTTATGTCCAGCAGACGATTATATCAAATAACGTCATTACGTCTAATAGCTTGTCTTTAATCTTTACACATAGAAACATCTATAAACCCAAGTATACTCATACCTACCCCATACTCTTGCATGAATAAATTATTACAATTTGCTCGTCACTATATAATCCACAATTTGTTTAAGTTTTTTTTCAAAATCATGACATAAGATAACTCCGGATATAAGTATTCAAGCTATCAAAAATTTTATTTATTCAAATTTACACGATGTGAGAAACAAATGAAATATATCAATAAACACTTCTACTGTCTTTTACTAAAAAAAAAAAAAAATTACGAATACAAAATTTTTATTCTTTATACCTTTAAAAATACAAAAAAACTCTTGCATTGTTTCCACATATTTCACAGTGATGGATTATATCGATGAGATATACGACTCGTAAAAAAATCCTAAATTACAACATTTTCTTCCAATAACACCTTCCAGTATTTTGCTCATATAAAACACATTAAAAACATTATGCATTAACATTATGTATTATTAATGAATATACTAAACAAGAGTGACAAAAATGCGTGAGGAGAATGCTGAAAATTAGCTCGCTGGACAATATTGCAGTACATTGTTGCGCATGTCGGTGTAGACGCAAGCGCTGTATTGTACGGAACACATATTTCTCGCACGTTAAAACGCTGTATATCTCAAACTGTTGAGATATATGTACATAAAACATTGAACTAAATGAAGAGTACGAGAGCTACGTGCTTGTAATTTGCTATCTATTTTGTTCTTTACTGTTATTTTATACTTACATATCGCAAAATAACCGCTAAATTTGTTAAAAAAGGTAATCATTGTAGTAATCAGTTTTCATACGTATCCATAAAATATGGTTGCGCTATTTATCACGCTGACGAATCGAACAATAAAAAGCTGAAATCACAACACAATACCAATGTAACATAAGGGCACGTGACAAAGTGGTTGCGCGCAAATTATCCTCATTCTTTCTATTCTTTCTAATTTTTGTACGCGATCAAAAATCCGCTCAAATCCGGGATTTGTTTTAAATCTTCAAAATAGAAATAAATAATCAGAATCATCGACAATTCCGATTTATACGCACAATATAGATGAGTTTCTATAAGCGTCACACACACAGTAGTAGCTATTAATGTTCAATATGCGAGGCGGGTAATAACTCGCGCGCGCGGGTGGATCGCGACGCTAATAACTCTAGATTGGTTGCGATAACACCGAATTCAATTCTTGTCGCCTATCACTTGTTGATAATTTGAAGTCCTTACTCCAAACGTTCACTTTACAAAAAAATTGTTAGACTCACGGGAAAGAAAAAATCGACAAAATGATAATGCAAGAAAACTGTAACTGTAAGTGACGCGTGACGTGCAAAAATAAGAAATCGCAATATTCATCGACTTTTCAATTACTCCGAGAGTTGTCTTTTATCTTTAATAATTACACGACGTTAGGCCATGCGATGTTTTATCGACGTCGCGTGCCAACGTTAGCCAGTTTGTACGTTAGCCAACGTGTGTTTACTGACATCGAAGAAGAGTGAGAAAGCCAAGCCGGCTCTTCGCGCGAAAGGTTAGAAAGTAATAAAAATGTTATTAATATATAAAGACTATTGCGATCGTAAAATCGGCCGCTATCTAAAAAATTCTTTTCCGCGCTACTTGTTGCGCGCCGGATTAATTGTAGTTTCCTCAAGAATGACCCCGCGCGCGCCCAAATAACATCACAGATCAAGTGCAGTTTGACAGGTTGAAAATGAAATCGCGAAAATCACTTTTGTTCCGCAAATAGGCGACCTGCGGATATCTGACATCTCAACTTGAATCCAGTCTATCTTCGTACGCGACCTTCGTTGGTTTTTGCAACGTGTTCGAACGATGAAATGTTCCGACTGGAACACGGAAAATTAATGGACTAAAAATAAATCGATTGCCGCGCTTATCGGGCAAACGAAATGCCATCGTATATTTCTCGATTTCACCTATCAGATGGTTCTTTGAGATGTATGTTCGCGGGACCGTTGGGAGATTGGAAGAGTAATCAGTCTAATGAAAGCAAATTGACACACCTCAATTCGTTCGCTCGTGGATTAATTTGTCATTAGAGTGCCTCCGAAACGAGCATTTCCGTTTAATCTCCAGTGGATATCAGAGACATTAACAACCTTATATCACGAAGAATCAGAAGACTCGATAAGTCATGATTTTTAACACCAGACTAGTCTTGATTAAAAAATAATTTTTTTTACCAAAAGCTTAATTTATATTTTAAGTTATAGTTAATTATTCCTCTCTCGCACATTGTTTTATTACAATTGGTTTTTTTTTTTTTTTTACAAAAGAACCTAATCTCTGGTTGGAGTTTGACATGTTAATGATAATACAAAAAGTCTTTGTTTTTTTTTGAGCGTCGATTAGATATATTTGTTGCGTTTTCGTTGAAACATGAAAACCGCGCGCGAACGTCTTGTACGAAATCGTACGATCTACGCGATTCACGATAGATCGCTCAGACGACGATGGTGTGTGTCATAATAACGATTTATCATTCCGATACGCGCAATCACGTGTGCCAGCGGCCGATATCAGCGAACTTGTGCACAAGCAGAACTTATATTGCGTTTCGCTTGTTTCTTACACTAACGAACACGTGTAACGTTTCATCTCAGTTCACAAAACGGAATAGAAATAGTCGCGTTAAAAAGTAGAACATCGCGGCGATTTTGACAGACGAATCATCTTCTGCGTTATCTGCGAAACGTGCAAGCTGAGTGTGTTCGATCAATAAATGTTTGGCCTCCATCGAGCTCTCTCGCCGGCAATCCTCATGTCTTGGCTCGTCGCTCGCTAATGCAACGGAGCTGGATTGATGGTAGACTTTCGCGCATTCCGTAAGATGACGATCAGATTTGTTCAAATTTGACAACATTCTTCGGAAATCTCAAAGAGATCTAAACTAGAGAGCGAAGTAATTAAGAATAAACTAAATCGGAAGACATTTCAAATAAAAAACCACATATCTGCCACCGCTTTAAGAAAATTGTTCTGCTAGTTTTTCTATTTCATTTAAGCATTCACAGTTGGATCTTACAAATTAAAATTATTTTGAGTCTATCTTCAGAGATACTTTGTAGCTATTGAAACAGACCGTGTAACAAACTTCACATATATGTGAAATGCTGTGTTTTAAACTTAATAAAAAATCTAAGGTATTGTTGTTGTTGTTACGTTTTACTTGTATTATGCATATGGTTCCAAGTGAAAATCATCTTTATTAAAAAACCAATCATCTACTTTGTTATAAGAAAGTTCTGATAAGATTTCTGTTGAGAGATAAAATATTAGATTATGCAAGTGTTTGGAATATTAGATTAATATCACTCGATATCGATAAAAATGTCATAGAGTAATAATTGCCACTTTCGTATACAAATATCAATTGAATTTTGTCGTTATTATCCATTGACTTAATTGCTTCTCTCTCTCTCTCTTTCTCTCTTTCTCCTTTTCGTAGAAAAACTAATGAATGAGACGAATGAAATATTTTTATTTCTCAAATGTGCATGCACGATATTGGAAAACGATAGTCTATTTATAAAACTTTTTTTATTAACAACTTTTTAATAAACAATAAGCGACGGCTTTTGAAAGTTATTCAGGAGAATGATCTTTATGATATATGTGAAAAACAAGGTTGTTAGAAGAGCTTTTCCTAAAGGAAACTTTCACCAATATTTTTTAATGCTTAATTTGTCAAAAAGTAATTTTTGTCTTTATATCACATTTAAAAACTCGATATTTTATCATTAAAAACACAAGTTTTTTTTATAATATATATGTTACTTTTTCTATTATGTAGTATATGGAAAGGGCAGTCGATGATACACGCAGTCGGTGTTCAACAAAATGTCTGATATAAACAAGCGAAAAAAGGCCGCGATAGCGTGTCATATACCGACTGTAATTAAGCTCTTTTCCGGATTCAGACGTTCATGACCCGCGATTCGACCACAAATCGACGTTTGTCTCAAGGCCTAAGTCATTGTCCTTTCTATTTATGTCGTTAAAAAAGAAACATGTCTTTCGTTCTTTTGGCACGATCTCGTGTCAAAACAATTAACGCTAAAAAGACCGCAATTTGTCGTGATAGTTGGCCACAACAAAATTCATTCGATATAGAAGTTATATGCGATTTGTCTTCGATTTTTACGTTTATTGTGTTCGAACGGGAAGAACAATGAGATCCTTAGATAAAGTTCGCTCGATGTGTGAAATGAAACATATCGAAAGCTAAAACAACTCG